TGTTCACTATTTCTGCCGATAGTATACCTAAGCAAGATGTCATTTAAAAGTTGAATATTCAAAACCCTCATAGTCTTACTGTGAGTTTAAAACATGATGAATTCCAATACAGAGATGAGTGAGAGATGTACAAATAAAGGTTGTTCTGATAGATGACAGTTCATATTTGAGACCCTCAATATAACATGTCTAAAACATTATTTGTGTTTGTGTGTGTAACAAACGATCGATAGATAGATAGATAGATAGATAGATAGATAGATAGATAGATAGATAGATAGATAGATAGATAGATAGATAGATAGATAGATAGATAGATAGATAGATAGATAGATAGATAGATAGATAGATAGATAGATAGATAGATAGATACCATTAGAGTACCATTACCATTAGAGACAATTTAAATTTGACCTCTTCTTTAATATAAATGCAGAAAGTATGTAAAATATGTAGACATAAACAGGTTTAGGTTTCTCTGTTCAGGTGAGGACAGAGATAATTATATATGGCCATTATTCCATTGCTAACACAAATCCAATTGCTGCCTTTATAGTGATGCAAATCCCATTCAGTTTGCATCAACATTAATGCGATCTGCCGAATATTATGCAGTATTCTCCTTTGTGCTGCCAAACATTACTGATGTGTTGAGGCATGGATTCCATGAGGCTTCTGAACCTTTAATTTGGTGCCTGGTGCCAAACACCATTAGCAGATCCCTTTTTAAATACTCCACATATTTTCCTCGGTCCAGCACATTCCATAATTTGGGGAATTCGGAGGTCACAGCAACACCTTGGACCCTTTGTCATTTCTCACACCATTACAGAACAATTTTTGCTCTGTGGCAGAATTTTCTTTTATTCAATTTGAGCAACAGTAAAGGTGTGATTATGTGCATCATTAAGCCTTGTGTGGCTGTGACTGTGTTGTAGATGCTGTGATCTGAGCCATAAATATTTGGCCCTTCTTAAATTCATTTATTCGCTGCTTACCATTTAACTGGTGGCTACTATATCCAAGCTCTTAAAAAGTGCCTTTTGACACTGCATTCACTTCACCTTTCAGTGCTTTTAATATAGATGGCCAGTGCATTTTTTAATGTAAAAACATGAGCTGGTTCGAGCCTCGGCTCAGTTGGCGTTTCTGTGTGGAGTTTGCATGTTCTCCATGCGTTCGCGTGGGTTTCCTCCGGGTGCTCCGGTTTCCCCCACAGTCCAAAGACATGCAGTACAGGTAAATTGGGTGGGCTAAATTGTCCGTAGTGTGTGTGTGAATGTGTGTGTGGATGTTTCCCAGAGATGGGTTGCGGCTGGAAGGGCATCCGCTGCATAAAAACTTGCTGGATAAGGTGGCGGTTCATTGTAGTTTATTAAATCTGATTATAAAAGACACGAGTGTAAAGTAACCCATTTCACTTCAAATTCATAGTGATTTGCTTACACATTCTTAAATCAAAAATATAGATTTATAATATTAATATAATATTAATTATGAAGCGGTGCTTTATATAATTAAATCATTTTATTTTTAATGTAAAATGAAATCGATGAATCCATGGTGAGTTAAGTGACGTTATAAGGTACACTGCCGTTCCATTTGAAGAAGTACCCGACTTGTGTCCTTGCGTCCTCGGTAGTTTGTTCTTCCAAGTCTGAACTTCCAAGGACGCAAGTCCGAACTTTGTGTACTTAGTATTGAGAAACAGCCGATGAGTACTGCAGAGCTGCTGTAATGCAAGCATTCGTGGTTCGTTACGATCTGTTTACGTAACTATAGCAAGTGCAGCGCCCGTCGCCATATGTTGCCAGAAACTACATGAAAAATCGCTAATAAAATAGGCACTTAGGTAACGGTGACAGATAAGACGTTTGTTGCAATGCTCTTAATTAAATCCCTTAAGTTAAATTACTGAAGGTCTATCATGCAAGCGGTCACATGTCGATGGTAAATGACGTCACTTGCGGAGGAAGGGTTGGTGCCTAAGGCCCTGTTTACACTAGTGCGTTTTAGTTTTAAAACGGCGTTTTAGAATGAAAACGATCCGCGTCCACACCCGCGTTTCACCCAGCGCTTCTGAACTGCTCTCCATCCACACCAAAACGCTGAAAACGCACATCACGTGACCACACACACACTCTCGGGCAAGCGCCACAGCATTTCTACCCAGATGAGAGCTCTGCTAGTCGGACTGCGCATCAAGCATCTCCCGCTGGATCTAATCTCGCTATATTTGCTAAACGTGATATTTCATTCATCTTGTTTTCTTTATCTAATGACATAGGCCTATTCCCTGACTTTGGTCATTGGAATCTATTACTTGTTTACAGGTAACATGCTTTGTTTAAGCGCAAAGAGAAGTTAATAATTAATCCATGTACATTGACATTGCCTTTATTTCCTACAATGTATGAACTTATTGTATGTTATACTTTTATAATGGCCATTATCGATTATTAAAACTGATATTCAGCAAAAGAGAGGGTATGTTTTGTATTTTCACTGAAATTGAAAGGAGGCAGTTGTTATCGGCTCCGTTTTGTTATAAATATCCACACAGTGAAGATGACGCTCATATTATACAGCACGACGCCTCAACATTTCTGCTGTCTGTTAAGTTGCTAATATTACAATGAAAATAGGCAGTTCCTTGAATCATGTTTACATTTTATTGTTGAGAAAGTGAAACAACGTAGCCAGGGTGATGTGAATGAAGTTATAAAGTAACGTACACTGTTCCCTTTGAAGATTTACCCGTGTCCTCTGTATGTTTTCCATATCAAACTGAGAAGGGGGAGACTGCAGCCTTGATCAAACTTGCGAAGTCTGAACTTACAAGAAGAGGATGCGAGACTGAACTGTGCAAGCCTAAAAGTGCAAGTGCAAATCTGCAGCCTGACTCTACTGCAATCAATACATGTGTGAAAACATCCAGAAGCTTCTCCTGCAATGCTATAAACTTTACTGTACATGTGTGGCGTCTCAGAACCTTGACAAAAGCTCATGAATGGAAAAGAACAGCTTGACGCACTGATGATCACACACGTCCCGATCAATATCTGCCCTAATGAATTCCACACTCATTCGCCAGCCAGCAATTAATAGCAAATCTATTAAGGAGCTGAAAGCAGCGAGCAAATCTCCTAGTGTGGGAATATAATGGGATTATTCAGCATGTTAGCATGTGGCTCATGAGAGTGGCCTGTATAATCTGTTTAAATGAGCTGCATGCATTGAGTGTATCTAATCCCTCAGCTGGCAGCCCTGCTGGATGAACACAGGAGCTCAGTATCCAGTCACCCCACACACCTTTGGCCAACACTGGTGTATGGTCAGATACATTTGGATACAGGGTGTGCAGTCGGCTTCCAGAGGTTTTCTACAATACTGTGTAATCCTGTCATAACAACCCTGCCATAAGACATCATATGATGATTTATGAATTTTAACAAACCACAAGTGTGTTTTTAGATTCTTTGTGAAGTTAAAAAAGGGAAGAACTATAATATCCACAATCCTAGAGAGAAATCCCCTAATAGAGTGCAATAGTCAACTCAAACCACAAAGTTTGGCTAAAATGGATATCTATTTTTAGATAATAACTTATTAAAACGTAAAGACAGACCTACCGTGAGCAACAGTGAGTACGTTTACAAGGCCACCAATAATCCTATTTGAATACGATACAAGACGATGCAGTTGTCCCTCGCTATAACGCACTTCACTTTTCACTGCCTCGCAGTTTCGCTGATTTTTTCCGTACAATTTGACTTGCTTATTTTTTTTTTATTTTGTTCTGCATCCTGACTGGCTGTACTCCATTGTCAATTAATCCCTGTGGCGAGTCTCCTGTACAGTACAGAACTGGTTCAGCTTGCCAAATTTAGATAAATCTTCAATCGCTAGCAGTGTGACTCTGAAGTGCTGTATTGTACAGTATGTTTGCTAGTTTTCTTCAAACAATGTCGATGAAAAGTTCTGCAGGAAAAGTTTTGCACCCGTCAAAGGCACCTGCGGTAGCACCCAAAAGCCAGAGGAAGTTGCTAACCATCGCACGAAAAAATTTCTCAACTTTTTGGAAGTTGCACGACTGAAGGGCGCCATTACGGAATACATAAATGAAGATCAAATGGTTTTGCTCTTTGGTTTCATTCTATAACACTTCACTTACCTGTTTACGAAGGTTTGAGAGTGTTTAAGAGTGACTTCTCTCTGTGTCGTGTCCTTTGGAAGCCCAAATAGCAGAATTTGGACAGCATTTTAGCCCTCTCTGCTACTTTACAGCACCTCTGGCTTGCTGAGCGGGGTGTAGGCGCATAGTAAATGCATTCAAGTTTTGTAGTCCCCAAACTTTGTTTGCTGTAGGCTTTGCTAAGCTAACTCTGTAAAAGCCAATGTCTCCCTTAGCATTAAACTTTGAGCGTATTAAATTCAGAGATGTTGTTTATGTTCACACAGCTACATTACACATAAACTAAAGTTTAAAATATGATTTCATAGTGGACCACCCCTTTAAAATATAAAACATTACGTCCAGGGCTTTACATTAACTTTTTTGGTCACAAGCCACTGTGGCTAGTAGATTTCCAACATTACTAGCCACTTGCCATTTTCACTTGCCACAATTTTGTTGTTTGGAAAATATATTTTATATAAATAAATGTGACTTTGACATGCTAAAATGACTTGATTTAGATGTTGTGTTGTCCCAGATCAGCAGTTACTACACACAAATGGTTGGTTAATCTCATATTAAAGAAATGTTATTGTAAAGGATGATAATTAAACTATATTAACAAAAATAACTGTAAGCAAAAGAAAGCAGGTAAAAATATACCACAAGTGATAATGAAAGGATGATCACGTGCCTGAGAATAATTAAAACAAAAGCAGTGATTGCTGCTGTTGCTTACAAATATATATATATTTCATTCTTGAGCTATTAAAAGCAGCAGGACTGTGGGTACACGAGCATAGTTTTTTGTCTAGTCTTTTTCAAATAGAACCGATCGCAAGTGAACAGAAAAAAAGCGCAAGTAAACAGGAGCGCGAGTAATAATCCTCTTATACGGTATTCACCTGCTTTGTCTTACGTGAACACAGTTATTGTTTTCAGTTGTGGTGTTTCTCGATTCTAAGATCACAATTGCAAGTATATTGGGCCATCCTTACTGTCGAACCCTGCTTTAAGAAAACTACAATGTAAAAATTATTTCCAACCTGCCAAAGTGGCTAGTGTGAGCGGCTGTCTAACCCGCCAAAGCTGAAATCTACCCGCATTTGGCGGGTGTTAATGTAAAGCCCTGATTACGTCCCATCAGAACTCAGAACTTAACTTAGAATCTGAGAAAAGAGGAAAAAGTTGTGCAAAAACTCTTACCTGCAAAGAATAATTGGCTCTCTCGCTGATTAGCCTGGAGATGAATTTGGCCGTGTGCTGAAAATGAACTTTTTCTAAAAGGTAAATGAAATATGTATCAGTTGGCGCCGGCATTCTTTGTTTTACAAACCCTCTCTTTCCTTCGCAAAGGGAACGTACCATCTGCTGTCGGATGAATGATTAAAAACTTCTTATCAATGAACTGGGATGCTCTGTATGCAAGGTTGGCCATCTGTGGAAACATTAAAAAGCACACTGTCGGTAACTGCGAATCTAAAACACAGATTATAAGTGAAGAAGAAGTACCTCGTATGCTCTCCGGTCTGGCTTGGGAGGGCCCAGATATCTCTCGGAGAAAGCTGAGGCTGCAAAGCAGGAAATAAGAACGGGAATAAGTCAACAGTCACATTTGTCACAAGCAGGGTTCATTTCCGAGCATTTCCTTTGATAGAAATCACCGCGTGGCCATTTCACAATACAGGCTGATGCTACGGGTGACTTATGGGCAGATTTCTGTGTTGTTGCCGCTGTGAGAGGTGAAGTATTGTTTATGATGAACACACACGCGCTTCATTTTTCATCCCTCTGTTCTTTTAGAGTTCTTTGAGTGTCTCGATCCTCCATCAGGTCCTGCTCTCAGAATACTGATGGATCCACTGACAGAAAGCTATACAGAAATAAATTGGACTCACAGGATGCATTCTTTTTAAAATGTTTAAAAACGTTGGTCTTGATGTGTTTGATCTCTCTTTTTTTTGTTTCAGTTCAGTGTGCTAGATTACATCAAGTTACAATAGAAGTGGTGTGTCATCACTGAGCATCAATGGCAGTTTTACAAACAGAGCTGGGGGGTTGGAACAACATGTTTAACATTTCTGATTTCATTCTTGGAAAGTAATTGACTAAAATGTATCTTTAAAAAAAAAGGCTGGTCTGCTTTATAGTCTAAGGGTGCTTTCACACCTGTGAATCGATTCAGTTGTTCCGAAACAGAGATTACAATTGTTACATTGTTGCTCTTTGCTCTTAGAGCGGTTCGCTTTCACACTGCAAAGTTTCTAATCGGACCAAAAGAGCTAAAACAAGTCACGTGCGAGTAAACTCTCCTCACATTGGTCAGAGTGTCAGGGTTTATTTTGCAGCGTCCTGCTCAGCTGTCAGGAGAGGTGGTGGTTTGGTGGTGATTGACAGGGTGCGCGCGCGACATGTCTGAGGAGAGACGTGGTGGGGAGGGGTGAGAAGGGTGCGCGACGATGCCTATTTGAGGACCGGGAGGGAGACGCGAGATTACCGGGAGATCATCACTTGTTTGCGGGCATCCGGAGAATCGCGAAACTTCCCGCCCTACTCATAATTCTCTCTTCATATAGCCGTATGCCTATTACATATCCATAAAACACTGTGATATAACCGCGCTCTGATCGGATCGCTTTCTCACTGCAATCGAACCGCTCCAGGGTTCGTTTCAATCGAGCCGAGACCACCTCATTCAAGCGATCTCGGAGCGATTACTTTGGCGCGGAACAGAGCGCGATTGCCCTGTTCACATATGCCAAACGAACCGCACTAACTTGGCAAACGAGATACGTTTCGAAACAAAAGTGTAGGTGTGAAACCACCCTAAGGGTGCATTCACACCTAGATGTTTGTTTCGAAATCTGGTGCATTTCCCTTGCGCGGTTTGATTGGCATATGTGAATCCAGCAATCCCCTTCTGATCAGCACCAAAACAATCAGTTTGAGATCGCCTGAATGAGGTGGTCTCGGCTTGATTGAAACAAATTTTGGAGCAGATCGACTGCAGTGACAAAGCAATACGATCCAACAAACCAGGCTATATCACAGTGTTTTATGGTTATGTAATAGCCATACAGCTATATGAAGAGAGCATTATGAGTAGGGTGGGATGTCATTTTACCTGTAAATGTGCGTTTTGTATGAAATACGAAACTATGCTAAAGTATTAACAAGAGCTTTTTATCAATTTAAGAAAACTGACTGATATTACCATCTCATATTTTTCCTGATATCACTCGTTGATGTCAAAATGATTAAGATGGCTGGTAAATTCATAAAAGGTAGGCTTTACTGTACCGTGCACCAAACATGAATTTCAGTTTAAGAAAAAGCATGAGGTAAGTTGTTAGAAACATTTAATATCTGGCAATTATCTGGTTTTAATCACTTAATTTATGACAGTTTACATCTTGCAATAGTGTGGTCCTGAAAAATCTCAGACTCAAGGGCTATCCCCTAAGTCCTACGCCTTCAAGCTAAAGAGAACTGGGACACCCTCACCCCTTAACATGAACTCACAAAATGAGGGGTAGGGTTCAGGGGAAGGGCTAAGGACCTAACAATATTCAGGTGCAGAAATGGAATTATATGTCCAAATATATTCTTAGATCGAGTAAAAATACTGTTTTGTTTTGAGCTTCAGAAGAAGTAATTAAAAATGTAAAGTTTTTCTCTAGAACAAGCAAAATGATTTGCCAATAGGGCAAGTAAAATAATCTTGCTTTTACTTTGAAATGTAGATATTTGGACTACACTGCCAAAAATGATTTAATGATTTAAATGATTTAAAGATGATACCTTCACTCAAAAAAGGATTTTTGCTGCTTGTCCAATCTACTTATTTAGAATAAGCGGATTAAACACAATTCTTGAGTTTTTTTGTGGTGACAACTTAATAGTTTTATGTTCAATCCACTTCAGTTTGTAAAAGACAATTTACGTTAACTTAATTAATTTGTGTTGGGACAACATGAAGGAATTGAGTGGAACACAGGCTTTTTTACAGTGATTGATTTAATAAAAAATATTATGTTAAGAGATTTTAAACAATTTATTTGTAATTTGTTTGTTTAAATTCAACCCATATAAATTATTTGCAACATTTTTGCAGATGTCATTTTCTTTATCTGTGTAGAAGCAAAACAAAAATTTAACTAAGAAATTTTTTGGCATAAATCCTGTAAATTCTGTATGAATAATTAAATACTTTACAATAAACCTTTTGACACATTCAAACATCGTCAATTTGTATCCAAATGCTCAGTCACAGGCCTTAAAAACACATGCAACTGATAAACCTTCACTCTATCATGGTTAAACTCAGCAGTGACTCTACAAATCACGTTCAGACACAATTCAGGCATATCTTGCACTGTGACTACTGCGGATGCGCACATTGTGATATTAATGCTGAAATGATATTGTGCAGCCCAAGTCTGTAGTTTTTAAAAAATGGATTCTTAAGTTTAAGTTAAGTTTTATTTTGGCATAAATGTAAAAATCAGGATGACATGTGAAGGGCATATTATAATAAATAAAACAATAATAACATTGTTAATGTAACAAAAAGTTGCTTAGCCGGCAGCTAGCTCTCTGCAACTCTCACATGATCGCCCAATGAAGCTAAGCAGGGCTGCGCCCGGTCAGTACCTGGATGGGAGACCACATGGGAAAGCTAGGTTGCTGCCGGAAGTGGTGTTAGTGAGGCCAGCAGGGGGCGCCCAACCTGCGGTCTGTGTGGGTCCTAATGCCCCAGTATAGTGACGGGGACGCTATACTGCTCAGTGAGCGCTGTCTTTCGGATGAGAAGTTAAACCGAGGTCCTGACTCTCTGTGGTCGTTAAAAATCCCAGGATGTCCTTCGAAAAGAGTAGGGGTTTAACCCCGGCATCCTGGCCAAATCTGCCCACTGGCCTTTGTCCATCATGGCCTCCTAACCATCCCCATATTTTAATTGGCTGCATCACTGTCTCCTCTCCACCAATCAGCTGGTGTGTGGTGTGCGGTCTGGCGCAAAATGGCTGCCGTCGCGTCATCCAAGTGGATGCTGCACACTGGTGGTAGATGAGGAGATAACCCCCACTGTTTAAAGCGCTTTGAGTGCCCAGAAAAGCGCTATAGAAATGTAAGGAATTATTATTAATTATTATTATTATTAGTTTTTTTTTTTTGAAATAAAATGTATTTATTTGACCGAAGCAGTGAAAACAGCTTTCAACTTCTTTGAGCTTTGATTATATGTAAAACTGTGGTTTGACAATGTGTGCCAAATGAATGTAAAGCAAATAAACCGTCTGGAAAACTATTGCAAAAAAAAAAAAACAACTTTAACCAGCCGCCTTGTAATGACTCTCGAATAATCCTGCTAAACCCCTGCTAGGGGACTGAGGTGATGAATTCACTTTTTTTAAAAAAAATACTTTGCCTCATTTCAGAACCCCACTGGATGTTAATAAATGCACAGCCTTAAACTGCTTTTCATTGCAGAATATAAGAAGTTAGATCCATTCCATTCTCTTATGCTCCATCTGGTTATTTCTGAATTTGTTGTATGTGTCCATACAGCCCCATATGTGAAAAATAAGCCGTCTAATTTGCTCCCAGAGGGCCATCTTCTAGCAGAGTTTGGGTTTGTGTTCCACTTGTCAACAATACCCCTTCCCCCTTTTTCAGTAATGGCATGCAGCTTATATGGAGAAAGCAGTCACATTTGTTGCTTCAGGTGTGATTTTTACCCTATACTAGTCTAAAAAGCATAACAGTTCTGCGAGTCTTGTCTATCTTCTTATTTTGGATCATTGTCTTTATGAAATGTCCACTCTGGTTTCATGTTCATCATCCTGATAATGTAGATAATAGTGTAAGCAGCTGATATTAATTTAGACTGAAAACGGGTAGAGGGTTGCTGAATAACTACTTAATAACTGAGAGATTTCAGCTGCTGTCTGGGCTTTCACTGCCTTGTCACACCTCCCTTTCTTCATGTGTTCAATACTTTTTTTAAAGTGTCAACTTATTTTATTACACAACTTAATTTCTAAACTTTCTTTCTTTCTTTCTTTCTTTCTTTCTTTCTTTCTTTCTTTCTTTCTTTCTTTCTTTCTTTCTTTCTTTCTTTCTTTCTTTCTTTCTTCCTTTCTTTCTTTCTTTCTTTCTTTCACACTTAATTTGTCAATGATAATACACAAAAATGTTTTTCCATCGTGGTCCTTGATATAAAGTATAGATCAGGGGTCACCAACCTTTATGAAACTGAGAGCTACTTCTTGTGTACTGATTAATGTGGAGGGCTACCAGTTTGATAAACACTTCTCAAATAACAAATTTTCTCAATTTACTTTTAATTATACTTTATGTTTTTGGTAATAATTAATGATATTCATCCATGTGAACACACTGATCATGTTAATGATTCTCACAAAAGTTATCAACAATGGTTTAACAGGGTAGGAAATACCCTGTATTTAATGTATCAATGTGCAACACTTTATTTTTATATATCTCTGCAAATATTTACATTTTTAAATGATTACTTCTATATTGGATGAAGCTTACTGGTAAGTGGCGCTATGGTGAGCTATTTTTAGAACAGGCCTGCGGGCAACACATGTGATCCTCGCGGGCTACCTGGTAGTGTTGGTGACCCCTGGTATAGTTTATACTGTTATATAACAGACACTAAATTATAAAAATACAAATACATTCACAAATAACCATTAAAACACACCGTAAAATCCCTCAACATACTATTTTGCCTAATGGTGCGTTCACACCAGACACAGATGAAGCGCCAAGCGCAAGTTATTTACATGTTACTTTAATGTAAAGGTGTGAATAGACATCCAGCAACATGACTTGTGTGAATGAGGTGGCGCAAATGACGTGATTTGTGCAAATGAAGCAGGCACAAATTGAGCGTTTTGCTCGTTTGACACACAAATTACACAAATGACTTGAGTTGGAAGATCTGAACTTAAGCCGACATTCGTGCCACGTTAACCAATCAGGAGTTTGCTTTTGTAGGGGCAGGATTATGACGTAGCACCTGCAGTTGGTGTCCTGAGGGGAAATCCTCCTGCCGACACAGGGCAACAGCTCATCAAACTGGGCTCGGCCCAGTCTGAAGCACAGCTGAAAGCTTCCATCATCCAGCTATATTTTCTGGAGAAGCTGATGAACTCACAGATCTGGGTGCACCTCTGAGAGAATCTAGTGAACTCAGACATGGCGCCTAATTGATATATGCTGTTTATCAGCCTTCCTAAAACCCATAAAGCACAGCTACTATCTCAATAAAATCCATGTTAGCCATGTAGCAGTGTAAAAAGTGTCACCGGGCAGACAGAAGCCCTGCCCATAACGAGGATCTGTGTCTATTGTGAAGTGAACTTCACGAGCGAATTAAGCCAGCAAATTTATTTACATGTGAATAGTGTCTGGTGAAAACACAGCACAAGCTTTCAGATTTTAAACTAAAACTAACCATATTTGTTTATATCCATAGGCAGTTTATTCTATAGCGATGCCCCAGAATATTTAAAAGACCATTGACCATGCATAGTTTTAAAACAACATAATTTAAAATCCATAAGACTAGTTTTATAACAATTTTGCTCATTTACCCTTGATAAATGTGCATTACTAATTGCTGTTAAAAGTGTAAACTAATCAGTTTTGTTTTCGTTGTAGGTACTGATTACTTTGAAAACTTCAAGTGAAAACAGCTCCTTTAGAAATATATTTTCGAAGTAAAATGGTATCGTGTTCAATACTTATTTTTCCCTCTCTACGATCTTCTGTTAATCAGTATTCGCTTTATGTCCGCTTGCCTTAAAGCTCCATCCCTAATTAAACACCTGAAGCAGCTAATCAAGCTCATCGGGATCATTAGAAGCTTTCAGGCAGGTGTGTGAAGCTAAACTCTGCAGGAATGTAGTCTTCTGGGAGCAGGATTGGACATCTTCTGTCTTAAGACACATAAACACACACACACACACACATATCCTACCATATAGTGCAAAGTCTGTGATGGGTGAGAGCACTGCAGCACACTTGAGCATAGAGTCTTCAGAGCTGAGCAGAAGGCTGGTTATGTAACCTCCATACACCTGAAACACAAACACTCAACTCAAGACCTCTGAGACGGCACAAGTCTCATTACAAGTCACAGAAGTTTCCGATACGGCCCATGCTCATTAAAGTGAGCTGGAAATTCAGTCTTTGAGCATGCATTAATTAATCCTCTGAAAAGCGACAATCTTCTGAGGAAAGTAATGGGCATGGGCAAAAACGAACGTGTAGCCAGAAATGTAGATGGTCTCAATTAAGTCCTTCGCACTGCGTGAAACCAATTTGTTCTGCTCTTCTTCTCTAGAAGAGGTTTTTGTGACATGTTAAAGTCAGTTTTAAGTGAACTCTCACTCCAAAACCTAGCAAACGGTCTATTTATGGATCATTTTAAGTATGAATCATTTTAAGTGTGAAGGCTGTTCTAAATGAAGGGTGGCAGAGGCAGATTGTGCCTTTTAACAAAATTTTAAAAAGCCTCGAAGTGGGGTTTGTGACACATTCATGAGCTGTGAACTAATCTACATGAACTAATCTACACTGTGAAAACATCTTGCTGACTTCATCTTTTTTTAGTTGAGTCTAATGAACTTTTCTAGTCACCTCGACTTACATCGATCAAACTAAACTGATTAAAATATTAAGTTAAACTTTGTATAATCTAAAATATTTAGTTGAAACCTGATTAATTTATTAAAATAAGCTAAAGCAGGGGTGGCCAACCCTGTTCCTGGAGAGCCACATTCCTGCAGATTTCAGTTGCAACCCATATCAAACACACCTGCCTGTAATTATCACGTGGTGTTCAGGTCCTAATTAATTGGTTCAGGTGTGTTTGATATGGGTAGCAACTGAAATCTGCCGGAAGGTAGATCTCCAGGAACAGGGTTGGCCACCTCTGAGTTAAAGCAACATAACATTATATGTTTTCTTGACTTTTTGTCATTACATTTTTTACAGTGTAGGGCAAGCAATGTCTTTATATGCATTATTTAATTTAATACGCATATTGATATGTAATAACATATTATTTCAACCAAGATCAATAGTGAAACCATACAAAGTTGCAAAAGAAGAATAAATAATACAAATTACTAAATTACTAAATTAAATTAGCCCCATGTTTATTTTTTCCTCCAGTTTCTGTTTAACGGAGAGAAGATTTTTTTCAACACATTTCTAAGCATAATAGTTTTAATATCTCATCGCTAATAACTGATTTATTTTATCTTTGTCATGATGACAGTAAATAATATTTGACTAGATATTTTTCAAGACACTTCTATACAGCTTAAAGTGACATTTAAAGGCTTAACTAGGTTAATTAGGTTAACTACGGAGGTTAGGGTAATTAGTAGGCACACACGCAATCTGCGCGTGCAGATTTTCCGCAAAATTCCGCAGATTTTTAGCCCATCATTAATTCTGTTTATTTACTTGAGTAAATGTATAAATCTAAATTTATTCAGTTTTTATTCAGTAATTTATTACTTTTTATTTCATATATTAAGGTTTTAGTTATGATACTCCGCTGAATACTCCCAAAATAATTCTGCAGAAATCTGCAGATTTTTACCAAAAAAGATTCCATCTGGCCCTGATAATTAGGTATTACGTATACCTAACGATGTACATAACATAACGATGGTTTGTTCTGTAGACTATTGAAAAAAAATACAGCTTAAAAGGGCTAATAATTTTGTCCTTAAAATTGTATTTAAATAAATAAAAAAATGCTTTTATTCTAGTCAAAATAAAACAAATAAGACTTTCTCCCGAAAAAAAAAAAATATATATTATTAGACATACTGAGAAAATTTCCTGGCTCTGGTAAAAATCATTTGTGAAATATTTAAAAAAGAAAATAATCTCAAAGGGGGCTAATAATTCTGACTTCAACTGTATAAATAAATATATATATATATATATATATATATATATATATATATATATATATATATATATATATATATATATATATATATATATATATATGTTCACTTTTAATGTTCAATGTTCACTTTTATCAATTTGAGATAAAACAACAGAACCGGGTATAAAACCACCAAACCTTCAAGTTGAGAATTTTTGTTTTTACCATTTTAAAATCTGGTCATGTTTGACATTCAGTACATTGTTTAAGAATATTCATCCAGTCATTTGTGATTTTTCTTAAGAGGAATTTTCTACACAAAGAAATACTTTAAAAATGAACATATATGTGGTGGGCTCTGGCAATTGAAAGTATAAAGTATAACTGACTGTAAGTCTACACGAGACCAGCTATTTGTGTGGAAGGTGGACGCATTGCTGTCTGTGTACGTATATAACTTTAAATCAGCTGCAAACCAGTCAACATTTCCATTTTAGTAAGGATTCTGCATTGGACAGCAAAGTAATTTATGACACTTTGGACGTCTCAACACCGTTGCAGTTTTTGGATGGCCAGAGAGCTCTCAGATTTAATTTGTATTCTGAAGATGAACGAAGGTCTCTGGGGACTGGAACGACATGAGGGTGAGTAATTAAGAACAGTATTTTCATTTTGTGGGAACTAACCCTTAAATCCTGTTCGCTACATAAAATGGAGTCATTTTAGGCAGATTGAAACTGCTAAAGATAAGTATTTGGTCACCAAAAACAAGAAAACACTCTCGTATTTGAATACACCTTTCACTCCTGAACGTTTTGTATTATGTATGACCTATTGTAAGAGAAATTAAGCATGTAATTACCTGTCCAAAAGCTCCAATTCTGGTCTTGTCAATATACTGCTCCTGCATCATAATACTGACACAAAGACACAGCGTTAAACAGTCACGTCAGCGTCAATCATATCCTTGAGTTTTAATTGGCATGGTTTTAAAACGTCTGTAGATCTGCCATGCAGTTAAGCACGTTTGTGCAGCTGTGTGTTGGCACTGATGGATTTTCCTAGTGCTGGGTGTGCAGATGGCTGATCAAATACCTGAGGACATCCAGCTGGTCTTTCTCCTCGAACATCCCCAGCCTGCGCTGCACCTTATGAAGCAAGTTAGTTCCCTGGAAGCCACTTCCACGTCCATCAAAGCGCACTGCAACCACCCCAAAACTGCTGACCAGCACTGATGCCCAGTCGATGTGAAACTGCTCTGAGACCGACTGACTGCCCGGAGTCCCATCTCTGAAATAGACAGAAACAAAGATAAACCACTGAGGTTTCTTAAAAAAAAAAAAATAAGAAGGAAAAAAAGGAGGATTATATTTGTGCTGGAACATACTGACTGTCTCAAATTCAAGTAAGCTTCCTATCTAGAAAACATATCTGGCAATTATTGCCATATTCTGGCATGTTGTCCAAAGCACACTGGCCACATTTTAATGCATTTTCAGTCAGTTGAATCAGATTGCGTATCTCCGGTCCAAAAATAAAAATGCTGTCTACCATTGTGAAAAAGTGTGTGAAATTTAGGCCTACTTAAAATGTATAATATGTATACATGCATATTATATACAACCCTAAATCAGAAAAGGTTGAGACGGTATGGAAATCGCAAATAAAAAAAGTAGTGATTTCTACATGTACGTTGACTTGTATTTTTTATTCTTTTTACTGTTGACAATATGAACTTAAAATATGTCACGTTTTGTCTGGTCAACTTCATTAGTAAATATACATCATTTCCTCACATTCAGACCTGCAACACATTCCAAGAAAAGTTGGAATAAGAGCAATTTAGGGCTGGTAATCTGGTAAATTGTGGTAATGATAATGGCGTGATTTGAAACAGGTGATGTCAACAAGTGATTGTAATTAAGATTTGAAACAAAAGCAGCATCCAAGAAAGGTCTGGTCCTTTAGGATGGTCAGAGAATCGCTAGTTTGCCAACAAATAGATGGGAAAATTATTGAAACAGAAAGACATTTGGATATTTCACCTTCAAATGAAATGTTACACATGTCTACTTAAAGATACCACACTTTTATGACTATTTATCTTATAGTATTTAAGTATAGAATCCCATTCTCACCACTGAATAAAAAGAAAGATTATAGTAACCTTTTTATCTCAGAATTGCGTGATACAAACTCTTAATTCTGACTTTTTGTTCCTCAGAATTGTTAGATGTGAATTTGAAATTGCAATTTTTAAGTCACATTTTGAAAAAAATAAAGCCAGAATTCATGCAACTGTGAGTTTATTTTTTAGAATTATGACTTTCTAACTTGGAATTACAACTTTCTCAGAATTTATTTTCAGTTTCAGATTTACATCTCACAATTTTATAAAAAAAAGTTGCAATAACTTTTTTTTTTTTTTTTTAATTGAGTGACAGGAAAGAGTTTCATATTTAAGTCACATTAAGTTAAATAAAAAATTTTTAAAGCAAATTTTGGTCACATTTAAAACTTTTGTCATGTTGTAAAGAAGAGCACTTTTTCCATTTTAATGTGTACAAATTAGGCAAGCCACTTGATTTAACTACTATTGGCATTTACAGTTAAAACTAGAATTTTACATACATGTACACTCTAAAAACAGGAACATAACCATTTAAAAAAAAAATGTCTGATGATAAATCACACTAAACGTATACTATTTAGGTCCATTAGGATTACCCAACCTAAATGCTAGAATAATGAGAGAATTTTTTTTTTTGAGAATGTTTTATTAATTTCTAGACAGTCAAAAGTTTATATACATTTCCTTGGTATTTTTATTTATTTATTTTTTTTTTTTTTTTATCTTTGCTTAAAAACTAAAACTTTGGTCAAATGTTTTGGGTATCCTTCCACAAGCTTCTCACAATAGTTTAAAGGAATTCTGGCCCATTCCTCCTGACATAATTGGTCTTGCTCGCAAGCTTTTTCTACTCTGCCCACAAATTTTCTATAGGATTGACTTCAGGGCTTTGTGATGGCCACTTCAAAACATTCACTTTGTTGTCCTTGAAGTACATGAACCAATTTGGCAGTATGCTTAGAGTCATGGTCTGTTTGGAAGACCCATTTGTGGCCAAGTTTTAATTTCCTGGCTGATGTCTTGAGATGTTGCATCAGTATTCTACATAATGTTCTTTCTTCATGATGCCATCTATGCTGTGAAGTGGACCAGTAGCAGCAGCAAACCAAAGTTATTCTTTTTCCCAGAGTAATTTAGCAAATTGTGATCTGGCTTTTTTGTTGATTCTGGCTTGTTGGTTTTGCCATGTTGTCACACAAGGAATCCGTGTGCTTGAGGTTTTCCTTAAATACTGTTATACATTTGTGCCTCCAATTAACTCAAATGTTGTCAATTAGCCAATCAGAAACTTCCAAAACCTTGACACAATCATCTGAGCTTTTTTACAGGCATAATGATCTTATTGTATGTAAACTTGACTTTCAAGAAAAGTTATAACAATTTCTCAAAAAATATCTCTCTCATTATTCTGCTATTAAGCATAACAGAAACAAATTTGATATTCCTAACTTACATAAAAGAGAAAAAAAAAGTTCAGTCACAATAACATCTGGCTTTTTTTTAATGGTTATGTGCCGTTTTATAGTGTATGCGAACTTCTAGTTTCAACTATACATATATACACTATTCTGTATAACTCAGCATGCATATATACAGTGGGAATGATGGCTGCCTGACTCACAGAACTGCTGCCTTTCTGCCTCTCCAGTTTTCAAAATAAGAATCCCACATACATAGTACAGAATGTTTAATACATGCTTAGATAAACTTTAAAATAAGGACAAAAGTCATTGTTGTAATCTCACTAGGAAACATTGTGACCAATCAAATGCAGCCTGAGGCATGCATAGTAGTTAAGCTCCGATTAGTCTGTTTTTCACCATAATTTTACACACATCATTTACATGAGAATGCCCTATCAATGCTGTTAATTCCATGTACTGAACTCTTATTATTCAGCTATGACTAGGTGTATCCAGAGATTCATTCTAAGGATCCTTTAAAAGTGTACTAAAGTTTTCACCCGCTGTGAATAGGCAGGCGGTTCACTGAAATCTGATACGCCGTCTCTATATCAACTATAGACCCAACACACAATCTAAATTCACTGGCGGCTCTATAGAGCACAGGTGATTGTCTGCTGCAGTACGTATGATGTGGGTTAATTGAAGGCAGGCTTCAGGTGAACTCATTTGTGGTGTAATTACAGTGGCTGAAAGTGTACGGCTGAAAAGACAAGATTAATAGCACCGACTAAAGTCTATTTCAGAGTAAGACTCTTACTCTTGATGAGTCCTGAAGCGCAGCGCGGGAACAGAGCTGGAGAGAGACTGCTGTTTGTGTGTTAATAGGATGACCTGCAGCGCACACTTTAAAGGGCTCATATCATGAAAAACAGGATTTGCTCTTTGATATAATAGAGCTCATCGCATTACAGGAAAAGTCTAAAGTTCGTGCTTTAAAGCTTCCTTTCTGGATCATTTATTTAAACTTAATTGTAAAAAACAAGTCATTTAGGAATTCTCTCGATGAGCACATTAACACTAATCACCTCCGTGCACATATTAATGTCACTTATTTGATATTTAGCAGTCTGGTATGACCTTGTTTTTCATTTAATCCTACTGATTGACCATTTTAAAGATTTTATTGGCCTATTAAAATATCTAAAAATGTATATAGCTTTAAATAATGGAAATATATAGTTGAAATTTCCAAAACACTTGCCGAAACACTTTTTGTTTTTGCTCATTGCACATTTAGGGTAGAGTTTAGATTCTCTGCCTGAGCTCAAGCCCGGCCAATTTTTCCAGCAACTAACTAAGGGTCAGGCTGTGATCAAGAATTTGAGTGTTTTTTTTTTAGTCATTACTTAATTAGCCTAATTGCACGGAGAGCCATACACAAATCTATAATGAAAGCATTCGATTACTTTTATATTGTCTATGCTCATTTAAGACAAAATTATTTGTGTTTAAAGGGTCACGAAACACCAAAACACATTTTTTTTGAGCTGTTGACAGTCGTATATGTGTCCCACGCTGCTAAAAACACTATTAGGACACATATATTTCACTAAAAAGTGAAAATTTATTGTTTTTGCGTTATTGCGAGCAAATTTGTTTTTCCGGTTTGAAACTAATTTTTGAAGCTGCGTCACGGCCATGAGATCTTAGCGTGTATTCCAGCATGTAGACTGCATTGTGACGTCTCTGAGTGTGCTGCATTCATTCATAAGAAAGACTTGGCTCAAACCAATCAGCGCGCTCTATTGTGTATGCGGTGCAACTTTATTAATATGCATGATAGCTTCGAAGACTGTTTGTACCTGATACAGTGTTCAGACGGCAGAGAGAGACACCACGTTGTGTTGCCAAAACAAGTCGGAGAAGAATTGTTTGGAGATATAGGTCGTCAGTGTTGCTTTTATAATTTGCTGCAGTGAAGGTTTTGTTTTCATTTTCCCGCTATGAGAGCACAGCTGGACTCACGTGTGGATTACAGTGCATGCGACACAGACAGAAATACTTGTCTAAGGAACATTTTTTACCCAAGAGCTTTTCTCATCTGGAAATGCCTCTCGTCTCCTTTTAAAAATGACGTGGCTCCAGTTGGTGTTGATTGTCCTGTCTCTACAGATTTGGTAAGTAAGCGATCAGTGGTCTTTGTTTATTCAGATAGCAAAGTTAGTTTGTAATGTCAGCAGTACTCTTTCAGTGTTTAAAGACAGACCTTAGTCAAATGATTTCTAAGTTACTAAAGTTTACAGTATGTTATCATGACTACAATATTATAGACTGAAAGATCCGCTATAAATGCTACTATCCGAGTGTAGGATTTTTGCCGCATTTTGTGAAAGGGATAACACACATGGTCTTTCTGACGCTACCTGCTTAGTGCATATAAGTGCATCTAACTTTTTTTTTTTCTCTCATATGCTGTGCTGTATCAAAAATTGCATTAAAAATACACGCTTACAGCAGTTCCTCAAATCAAATATCTCATTTGTCAAGAGGGGCATGAATGAAATTCTTGAATGAAAGAGCCAAACTGTAGTTAAAGTCCACCATTTAATAATTTATCAAATAATTTGATTACTGATGTCCATGTAAACACAGTCACTGTCTTTCTCCCCTGCATCTTTATGTTTGTTTTGCCTCTGTGAAAATCAGCGTGAATCAAGCTCAAATCGAAACTCCCATTTATATGCAAATTTTTATGCACTTTTCCTTCTCCGACACTCCCCCCTAAACAGAGCTGGGCATGCCCACTTTTTACCAAACTAGAAGTGTGAAAACACCCAGCTGAAACGGAAATAAAATGAATATAAGACGCCAGGATGGACATGTTTTCATATTATTAAGTGTATTTATCTGTTTAAAAACCCACCCAAATACCAAAGCATACACTTCCGCTCCTCTTTAAATCACATGTACAGAAACTGATCTGAGAACAGTGTCTGTATATGGAGCGAGTCCATCAGTCACCTGCGTGTAGTGCGCGTTTGGAGTGTGCGGTTGATTGGCGGCTGCTGCACAGGCGTGCGTTTCTGAAAACTATGGTTTGCCAACTAAGGTCGCAAGTTCCACAGTTACAAACATAGTTCGTTGATTTGGCCTTTCCCAAATCCATCGTTTCAAGAAACTGCATTGCAAACTTGCATGCTTGCAACTACACCTCCAGAAACCTTGCAAGAAACCTTGACTAAAGTTATAAGTGGGACTCGGGGGAAATAATAACAGATAAGTGTAGATTATGGCTTTTTTAATGAGGGACCAACCTAGATGGAAGTTCATTGGGGATTTCAGAGAAACTGCTGGAACCTGACACACTTTTCTGCATAAAGCATGAGGTGTGTGTGTTATTGCGTAACAAGAGCATGTTTCAGGACATTTACTCACACAAGGAGCAGAAGTGGGTAGTGTGATGTGTCTATGAAGCCTGCAGGTTTCAGGATCTGCACGCTGAGGCCTGTGTAGGAGATATTAATAACCCTCTTAATCATTTTAGAGCAAGCGAACTTCAGCAATATGACGGGATTTAGTTAACATACTGTAATCCTCTATGTTTATCTCCCTGTATTCCACTCTCGGCATCTGCATGGAGTTCACCTTTCTCCTTAGGTTCAGATTCAACTCGATGTCTTGTACCTCTGGAAAACAAGACAGAAAATTTATAAAGCCATAATAAAGCCACAATTTCCTGCTAGAAGGGAAAGAAAAGTTGAAAGAAATGTTTCTACATTTGTAAGTAAATATGGTGAAGCATGGCAGAGTTAGTCACAATCACCAGCAATCTAGTCTGTGCAGATCGCTGAAGAATTACACATGACCATTTAATAAACCACAACTCCCATCATACACCTCACACACACCAGTTTCTGATTCCCCCTTAATTACACACACACAACTGATAGCTCATGATGGACTAATCAGATGAACTATAAAAACAGCACACACAGTGTTTTCCTTGCCTTGTCCTTCCGTGATGTTTGATCTTTGCTTTGTGCATTGTTTTATGTTGTTTTGCCGCAAGTCCTGACCATTCACTTTTTTTGTCTACGCTTTTGAATTAAAAAATTGCCTGACTAAGCTGTTAATAAACTACATTTGGACCCTCACCTTTGTTGTACCTTTGTTTATGGTAATTTACTGTAATCACAATTATTGGTGCACAGTAAAAAATGAAATTAAATAATTTTACTTTAAAGGTGGGCTTATAATGAAGCACACAGAATGACAGTAAATGAATCCAGCTATATTCAACTATTTAAGTCCGTTAAGTGCTGCAGTTTGAACCAAACTGTTTATGAAACTTAATTAATACACCTATATTTGGATTCTGCTTTTATAACATCCAATTCAACCTACAGTTTATTGTTTGTTGTTTCCATGTCTGTATCGCAGACATGGATGGATATATATATAGATAGATAGATAGCTCATTAGCTCCCCTTTGATAGTTTTTTTTTCTTTTTTAAATATTCATAACAGATTCAGGAAATTTTCACAGTATGTCTGATAATATTTTTTCTTCTGGAAAAAGTCTTATTTGTTATATTAAGGCTAGAGTAAAAGCAGTTTAAATTTTTTATTAACCATTTTAAGGTCAAAATTTTTAGCCTCTTTAAGCTAATTTTTTTCCCCGACTGTCTCCAGAACAAACCATCATTATACAATAACTTGCCTAGATAAATAAATCTAGAAATTATTATTAGAAGTTATTAGAAATGATTTACTAAAACTATTATGATTACATATGTGTTGAAAAATCTTCTTTCTATTAAACAGAAACTAGGGAAAAACAACAAACAACGGCGCTATTAATTCAGAGGGGCTGATAATTCTTACTTCAACACACACAAACACACACACACACACACACACACACACACACACACACACACACACACACACACACATATATATATATATATATATATATATATATATATATATATATATATATATATATATATTCAGAAACTGTGTGGAAAGAGTGAATAATAACTGAATTATTGGTCAAATTACGACAGAAATAAGAAATAAACTTCAGGGGGAATTAAACCAAACCAAAACAAAATTCAATGTTTATCTCAAACCAAGCATCTGCAAGCACTTACAAAACCTCCTCAAACCTGCAGAAATAAGCAGCAAATTGCTCTGGGATAAAAACAAAGCGGTTGTAGATGTTTGTGAGAGGCTGGTGAGCAGCTGGCTTTTCTGATACAGAGGCACGAAATAGAGCAGATATCACGTCTGCTGCTGTAAACACAGAGACCTTCCATTCTGAGCAGAAGCGATAGACTCTTGGAAGTGAACGTAACAATTAAGAGCACATTGTGGCAGAGGGTTTCGTTCTAAGATGAGCTTATCAGCACCTGTTCAGACCCAAGACTCTCAAAACACATACTAGTTCCCATTGCACCAATACTATTGACAGTCACGCATCTAAAAAACAGCAACAATTTGTACTTGAACGTGGACAGTGTTCAATTTCATTATTTGTTATTATTTTTTATAATCCTTTATGAGTTTGGTTTGTAAAGCAGTATGAACATGATCCCCATGTCACACTGTAAGATCTCAGTTGTTATAATGTCAACTTGGGGTGCGTTTCTGAAAACCATCGTTAGCTAACTAAAAGTCGCAAGTTCTGTTGTTACAAAGATATTTTGTTGATATGGCGTTTTACAAATCCGTCTTTCCAACAAACATTCGCAAACTGCATAGCAAACTTGTACGCTTACAACTACACCTCCTGAGCTGTAGTTCGAAGCATAGTTTCAGGTTGTGTTCTATTCCCTATTATCCCCTCTATGCCCTATTCTTCTAGAACATTCCAACATTTAAACTTGGAATGATTTAAAAATAAAAAAACCCACTAAAGTCGTCTCTCTTATGTGTAATTTGATTTCAAAGTCTTTTTACAGTTCAGTTTTAGCGATCTCTTTTATATTGACAATTGCATTCCCTTCGCAGTGCACTTTGAAAGCATTTTTGCCATTTTGAACACAGCCATGGCTCATGACAAAAGCTTTAGGTGACCTTTTATTTAAAAGCGAAATTTACGTTAAGTCTACAAAGCTTGTGAAAAAAAAAAATACAGTATACGCTAATTCTTTTAAATTATTTGTAGTTATTTATTAAGAAATGTATCTGTACTGTACATGACATGGGCCTGTTAAACCATTTCTGCAGTGGTTTGAATGTGTCAAAGTTGTTGCAAAGTAGACTTAAAAAAATAATAAATAAACAATATCCTAATTTAATAACAATAACAACAACAATAAAATTTTTTGTTATTATTGTTTTTATATTATTATTATTTATTATTATTATCATCATCATCATACTATTATATTATTATTAATATTGTTATTATTATTATTATTATTATTATTATTATTATTATTATTATCATTATTATCATACTATTATATTATTATTATTGTTGTTGTTGTTGTTGTTATTAAAGTATTATTATTTTTTTATCACATTATTATTATTGTTATTATTATTATTATTGTTATTATTATTATTATTATTATTATTATTATTGTCATTATTATTATTATTTTTATTATTATTATTATTATATTAAGTAGAATTTTTTTCATTTCTTAATAAATAGCCTGCTGTAAATTAGGCCTACAACCATTAAAGGTTTATATGATTTATATATGAGATTAGAATACGTGTTAGCTAAGTGATTTTATATGAAATATTTTCTATAATATTTGTAAAGGAAACATAAATAGGTCCTTTGTGTCGTTTACAAATATTTCAATTAATATGGAAAACGAGTGCATGTTTTTACTAAAACTAATATTAGATTTTTTTAAATGTTTGATTATGTAAAACAACATCATTTGCACAAAAAAAATCTTTTCTTTTTCTCTAAAGAAGTTGTTACTCTATTCCGTTTAGAGCATCATTATGGGCGTTATACATCATAACTAGCGTGATTCAGTTGATTTATCTGCGACAGAGAGAGTACGTGTTTTGGGAAACACTTGTCACTACATCGTTCTTTTCCCACACTGTGCATCGTCCTATGATAGTTCAGCCGCGAGTTACGTTGTTGTTTGGGAAGCACACATCTGTATGACAATAAGGGTGCATTAACCTCCTAGGGCTTAGTGGTCACATACGTGGACAGCACATTTTAGCTCTTAAGTGGCTATTTAAAATACAGACATACAGTGTCATCCTGCAACTGTTTTGCAGCATAGGAAATGTCCCAAACACTGTTTTATCTGTCCAAAATGGAAACAAAAAGTTGTGTTTACTCTCTGATAGTCAACACATGTTGAAAGAAATGTATATATTATATATGCATTAAAAAACAGTCAGGAAAAAAGTGTTTATGTAAAGTCAGACCACCAGTCCACATATATGGAAATCATTTTTCTCTAAAAGTACATCATACCAAAAGGTTTGATTCTAATTCGGTTCCAATAAGCCCAAATAGCAATGAGAAATAATATGTAAAATAACACCTTGGGCTTTAAGAGGTTAAAAATGGAAACACTCAAGAAGACTCTGGAATTTGATGTCATCCATTCATGGCACCTTTAGTAACTTGTTCTGAAATAAAATCTAACAACACAAATGTTAAATTTGCTCATAGTCTTCCTCGATAATGACACCAGAAGTTAAAACTGGGCTGTATCTGCCTAAACCCTCAGTCCACTAATATAGTCACGTGAAAAAGTGAGTGAAAACATGTAAGTGAATTGGAACCAGAACCAGAAGGGATGCTGTTTTGTTTGTGCTTTGCGGGTTGATAAATCTTTACCGCATGTCTCTGGACTGGGGGAAACCGGAGCACTCGGGGAAAACCCACGCGAACACGGAGAGAAATGCCAACTTACCAGCTACCTTTTTACTGTGAAGCAATTGTGCTACCCACTGCGCCACCGTGATGCCCACTCAGTTAAACATCATTTGGGAAATATTTTTAAAAATAAAGACTCAAACTAAAGATTTAATGGATTATGTTTATGAATCTCTTATCCAAAGAGCATCAACACATTAATTACCCCTAAAGCACTTTTTGGTTTCATTTTTAATTATTTAACTACCAGTTATTAATTAGAGGGAAAATTTGATAGAGAAAGACATTCATCAGCAGTCTGTAATCAAGCCAAACTAACAATCATAGACCACAGATTTTAGCCTGTAGGACAGGGCTGTCCAAACTCGGTCCTGGAGGGCCGGTGTCCTGCATAGTTTAGCTCCAACTCTCTTCAACACACCATCCTGGAAGTTTCTAGTGTACCCAGAAAGAGCTTGATTAGCTGGTTCAGGTGTGTTTAATTGAAGTTGGAACTAAAATATGCAGAACACCGGCCCTACCGGACCAAGTTTGGACAACCCTGGTGTAGGATTATAGACATCTTTCAGGACTGCCAAAAGTTATAAGAACTTTGGATTCAACGATAAACAAGCTGCTTTTATAAGCAATCCACACACAGATGACTTCAGTGGCGGGCCGTCACACTGAATCAGGCTCTCATTGTGATATTTGTGGGCTTACAGGATATTACATACATAATAACACAATTACCAGCCTCTTACACAAAGAGGTCACATTTTATGGAAGTCATGGTGTGTGTCTGGCAATAATCCAATCATCTCTGAGTGCTCTCAGTGTTTGAGAGCGGGTGTGTGTAGGGTGACTCAATCACACGCGGCCCAAGGCAGGCCTGGGAGGAGCTGTTTTTCAATTGAAATGCTGTGGGTATATAGAGTAAAGCAATAGAGATGAGTGTGTGAGTTTAGCTGTGCAGAGGTTGGTAATAAGAGCAAACACGTGAACTTACTTGGCAATCTTCTAAGTGCTCAATTACAAGCAGTTATAGGTGGGACAACCAAGGAGGTCTGTGATGCCTGGCAAAATTTCTACTCTTTAATACCTTAAGCAAACCTTAAATCCAACACAATTACAACACTTTATAATAAGGTTCCATTAGTTAATGTTTAAAAAAATGATATTACTATACTTGTGGGGACATTTAGACACACAAATGTCTCTCTCTCACATACATATAGACACACATGCACACACGCACACACATATAGACGCACGCGCACACTTGTACACCTATCTTCATAGGGACTTTCTATTTACATAATGTGTTTTTTTTTTTATTATTCCATGCGATTTATGAGCCTTTTTCCTCATGGGGAACAAAAATGTCCCCACAATGTCAAAATGTACTAGTATTGCTATACTGGTCATGAGGACCCAGGAAACTGTGTGCGTTTTTCTTTCTTAAATAAAACAACAGCAAAAAACAAAGACAATAATAATACTAGCTATTATTAAATTATTAAAATTAATGTGATGTGATTTTTGCCTTTTGAAAAACAGGGACATGGGCAATGTCCTCATAGTCATATTCTCCTTGTAATATCTGTGTTCCACCCATGTCATTATATAAATTTGTATCCTTATGTCACAAAAACACACACACACACACACACACACACACACACACACACACACACACACACACACACACACACACACACACACACACACACACACACACACACACACACACACACACACACACACATTAGACAAAATGAAAGGGTGGATACTCACTCTGTCTATAATGTGTGCTGTAAACTGCAGCATATGGAACTCCAGGACCTGACAACACACCAACACAATCATCAGTAAATAAACACACAACAGATTTCCATACTGTAGTTATCGAACAAAACTTTGCAAATTAAACAATATAGATTTATTTTGTTTGTAAGTCAGCAACTTAGTTGTTCAATTGAAAAAAAAAAAAACATCTATTAAAATTAGAGTATATATATAAAGTTGAAGTCAGAATTATTAACCCCCCTGATTATTGTTTTCCGCAATTTGCAATTTCTGTTTAACGGAGAGCAGTTTTTATCAGCACATTTTTAAAACATAATAGTTTTAATAACTCATTTCTAAAAACTGATGTATTTTTTTCTTTGCCATGATGACAGTAAATAATATTTGACTAGATATTTTTTAAAGACACTTCTATACAGCTTAAATTGACATTTAAAGGCTTGTCTAGGTTAATTTGGCAGGTTAGGGTAATTAGGCAAGTTATTGTATAACAATGGTTTGTTCTGTAGACTATCAAGAAAAAAAAAATAGCTTAAAAAGGCTAAAAATGTTGACCTTAAAGTGTTTAAAAAAAATCTGCTTTTATTCTAGCTGAAATAAAAAAAAGACTTTCTTCAGAAGAAAAAATATTTTCAGACATACTGTGAAAATTTCCTGAATCTGTTAAACATCATTTGGGAAATATTGAAAAAAAAGAAAAATAAATAAAAAAAATCAAAGGGGGCTAATAATTCTGACTTAAACTGTATATATAGGGATGTCCTGATCAGGTTTTTTTACCCTCAAGTCTTTTGATTGAGTATCTGCTGATACCGAAACCTGATCCGATCCTTTTATAATTTACAAAAAAAGAATAAAGAAGAGAGAAGAAACAGAATTAATTGACCTTATTTTAACATTGAACAACTCTGTTAACAAACAGAGCACTTCTGTGAGGTATCTTGAAAGATCAAGTAATAAATAACATCAATTCTTTACTTTTGGACTTCAGTGCAAGAGTAAATATAAAAAAATCTAATATAAAAACAAAGAGCACCTAAACTTAAAATACCCAGCAGGCAATCCAAAGTTTACATATCTCACAGTTTGCTATGGTAATGTTGTCATCATCTACTTTATAATACCTCCAGACCACAGACATAATCGTGGAAACTGACCTGTTAGGCTTTGATCCTCACTGTGCCATCCTGTCGCTTTAAATTCAAATGAGATTGTGCTCCACGCCCTCCTTTTAAAAGAAGGTGGAGCTACACATGCCTATGTGTCATTCATTCATTCATTTTCTTGTCGGCTTAGTCCCTTTATTAATCTGGGTTCGCCACAGCAGAATGAACTGACAACTTATCCAGCATATGATTTACGCAGCGGATGCCCTTCCAGCTGCAATCCATCACTGCGAAACACCAATACACTCTCATTCATACACATACACTACGAATAATTGAGCTCACCCAATTCACCTATACTGCATCTCCTTGGACTGTTGGGGAAACCAGAGCACCCGAAGGAAACCCACATGAACATGGGGAAAACATGCAAACTCCATACAGACATGCCAACTGCGCAGCTGAGGCTCGAACCAGTGACCTTCTTGCTGTGAGGCGACAGCACTACCCATTGTGCCACCATACCACCCCAAGTGTGATTCTAAACACTAAAATTAATGTTAATATGTTAGAGCCGGTTATATTTCCCACACAACTGTGTTTAAACTGTGTTTTTTGCCTAATAGATCCCCTTCAAGACTAACATACTGATACTAACATCTAAAAAACTTTATTTTAGTTTCGCAGGACCTTTAAGTCAAAACTAATGTTCACTCAAAAGCAATTCATCCAGTCACTTCACAACTGCTCTAAAAGTAATTTGAAAGACTGCAGTGTCACTAAACCAATAGAAGAAAAAAGTGCATAAAAGCTTTTGTTAATGAGCATCTGCAATGAAGCTTTCACAAGTGTCACAACGGCACCGGCCGTAAACACAGCAGTCATTCTTCCAGAAGTTCTGTCAAAGACGGTTCAGTGAATATGACCACAGCAGCATTCAAGCCTTCCAGACTGCCTTCAAAACAAATCAGCTGCCGTAGAACCGAGCAGTCCAAATAATTGAAGCACTTTGTAGAATGAAAAGTACACTGTTGAACAATAAACACACGGCCTGTTTGATAACGTGTCCACACTCACTGTCTCTGTTTCTGCTTGTGTAACACTGAACTCATCAAAGAGGTATAAAGCTTGTCAAGAGACCATAGAACAGTAAAGGTTTATGGGCTCTAAATGGGCATTCACCGCGGTGTCGACTCACAAACGTTTATTGAAAATGTGTCAGGGTTACGGTGAGGATAAAGACTCTTTTCTTTTCTCCTCACCTTCACTGACCAAACTAACGATTGAAAAATAAAGGCCAGTTACTTGCTGTATGTCACATATCTATTTTGTACTTTTTGTACTGTTTTGCTCTATAACACTTGAATAAATAAATGATGAATAAAAAAAAAAAAGTGAATGAATAAATAATTATAATAAAAAAGTTATGTTATTTATTCATTTTATTATTTTACATAGCATAACATAAAAAACAATAAAATAAAAAATAATATTAAATAAGACATAAATAAATGATAAATCATGAAAACAATAAATGTATGAATGCATCAATAAATAAATAAAATAATAAATAAATAATATAAAACAATAACATGTTATTTGTTATGAAATGTATGTAACGTGTTTTGTTTTATTTACTAATTTTATTATTTTACAGAACATTAAAAAAATAAAATAAAATAACGAATGAATGAATGAATAAACAAATGTAAAAAAATATGTAACACATGTAATGTAATAAAATATGTAACAAAATGTTATGTTGTTGTATTCTATTTTTTCATTTTATTATTTGACATAACATAAAATAAAAAAATCTAATAAAAAACAAAACAAAATGATAAAGGAAAAAAAATAATTAAAACAATGAAACAATAAATAAATAAGTAAATAAATAAATAAATAAACAAACAAACATGTTACATGTTACAACATGTTTTATGTTATGTAACATATGTAACATATTAGATTTTGTTTTATTTATTAATTTTATTATTTTATAGAACAAAATCAAAAAATAAAATAAAACAAACAAAAGTAATAAATAAATAAATTAAACAAACAAACAAACAAATTATTAAAACACTGAACAAATTTTTTTAATAAAAATAAATAAATAAAATCCATAAAATTACTAAATAAATAAAATAAAAAAATAACAAAATAAATGAATAAATAAATAAATAGGAGAAAACACTAAATAAATAAATAAATAAATAAATAAATAAATTAATTAATTAATTAATTCCCAGACATTAGCCAAAATCTTACATGACTTCACACTAATATAAATTCAATTACCTACCTGCAAATCAATTACAGATTTTCTTTTTTTAAATGACATTTTACTTGATGCACTGACAAAAAGTATGTACTAAAAAAATTATAAGATAGAACTAAAAATAAATAAATAAATAACACACTGAAAAAAATTCTGTAAAGCCAGTGAGTGTTCTTTAAATCTTTATTTTGGGGTGAAATGAAAGAACTATAAAATAATCTTTTAAAGTCTTTTTAAATAAATTATTTGGCCAATTGACTATTTTCACTGTAATCTATCTATTTAAAAAGTGAGAAAAAGCGCAAATCAAAAAGACGTTTACCTTTACAGTTGAGCAGGAAGTAGTCCATGGTGGGACTAAAGGAGCCGCTGACGTACCCACAGCTATCAGTGAAGTCACAGGACAGACAGCGGCGGTTGAAAGTGCCCACTGTGTCTGCGCTGGAACAACCACAGACACATTAACACTGTCAGAAAGAACAAGTCTGACCAAACAAACCATATTACATCATATAGAGTTAAAGGCAAAATTATCAGCCCCATTGATACCATCAACCAATTTAAACTCTTTTTCCAAATATTTCCCAAGTGTTGATAATGGAAGAATGCCTTTTTTCAGCTAATTTTTAACTCTTGTGTACTGCTCAAATTTACTACCCTTTTGATATGTTGGGAGCTTATTTTGTCCTATTGACATCCATTTAAATGACATTTTTGATCGCAAAGCCATGACAGCATATGATCATGCATTCTTGATTGTTGGAAAGATGCACCATTTGTAATTTTTACTAACGAGTCAGAGTGTATTGTTAAATCTTTGCAAAGTTTCAAAGCCCTTTACCCAAAATATGTGTCAAAATCAGATTTGTCTCCAAAAACTATTCCATTTGCTGAAACAAAGAAAGTTGTGGCCAAATTAAGACTCAAAATCACCCCAGAATGGAAGCAAACATCCCTAACAGCCCACAGGGGTTAAGATATAATAATATACTCGTAATATATTTGCAAGATACCAGTATTCAACTTAAAGTTGAATGTATTGGCTTAAGGTAATTTGGGATAATTAGGCAAGTTATTGGACAACAGTGCTTTGTTTTTAAAATGTAAAAACTGATATTATTTCAGCAAAACTTGGAGAAATAAGACTTTCTTCAGAAGAAAAAATATAATATGAAATCCTGTGAACATTTTAGTGCCCTGTTAAACAAAGAAATATTTGTAAAATGATATAAAATTTCATAGGAGGGCTAAACTATTTTGTGTTTAACTATGTGTGTGATTATGCACTGTAAGTACCTGTAGAGATGTCTTCTTTTAGGGTCATCCTCAGTGCTGAGGAAATATCTGATCATGCAAACAACACAAAGTCAAAACGTTTTCCACACAAGACTTTCAAGAGTTCACAATTAGCAGATGATTGATAATAAAGTGTGTTTGGCATGCTGTCCCAGGAGAGAGCCCTGAGCTCATATGATCCTCGAGCCCTTGGCTCCCTCCCGTTTTAAAGGCGAGAGGGGAGTTAGAGCTCAGGTAGGTCTCGAGAACTCCCCTGCTTGTTATTAGGAATTGCTACGAGAAATAGCTGACTAAGAGTTTGTCTATGATGTACTTGTAGTGCATGCTTTTGGATGGTGGGAGGAAGAGCACGGGGAGCACGGGGAGAACATGCAGTCTCGGCACAGAATCGAGGAATGGCAAAGTAAGGACCTGAACCAGTAACATTCTTGCTGTGAGGCAACAGTGTTAACCACACCTGGAAAAGGGAAGGCGGAGTAGAGGTGGAAGGGCGGATTCTTCAAGATGAAGATAATTAAGGTAAGAAACTTTGGTTATTAATAGTGTGTTAGGATTCATCTGATTGGTGCATCATGTGTTAACTGATGCGGGACCAACTGTGATCAATCATAAGCATGATCCTCTCAAAATTAGATTATAAATAGAGTCTCGTCTACCATTCCCTTCAACAGTCAGTTGCACTGCGCCATGGCACTCTTGGTATGTACATGGTGGACTTTGTAAGTGTAAAAACTGAACGCTTCACTTCTACTAGCAAGAAAACTAAAGAAAGTTAAAAAGACCATCTGCAGCGCAAGAATAAAGAACTAGCCTCCTCCATTCGGCCTCTTTACATTCTCTTTTACTCGTTACTCCTTTTACTTTTTGTGGATAAGGAAACAGTGTTGTACACTCCACTGAAGACATCCATCAACCTACATATTTAATTTAGTTTAAGCGCAAAGATTTGTTTCAAAACTATTTCTAAATTCAATTCTAATTTTCAGCAAGCGAGTGACTGAACAATAATAATGAAGAGTGGTCAAATAACAGTTATATCCAAACACACGTCCTGTTCTTATGCCCCATATGCTGATGCATACGTCTCCAAAACCCGACAGGTGGACAAATCTAAACTTGTTTTTATTAAATCAAATATAAATATGCATATAATAAATAATACTGCTAATAATAATAACCCGGCTGGGTCATTTGGTGTTTCTGTGTGGAGTATGCATGTTCTCTCCAAAAACATGCGGTACAGGTGAATCGTGTAAGCTAAATGGTCATATGCTGGATAAGTTGGCGGTTCATTCTGCTGTGGCGACCTCTGATTAATAAAAGGACTAAGCCGAAAAGAAAATTAATGAATAAAATGCAAATTGTCATGAATAAATTAAAAAAGCCCCCAAACATGAAGCATGGAGGCAGTTGTTTTTATATTTATGTAGAAAATAAACATTTATTGTAACATTTTAATCCTTTAATTTTGTTCTTATGTATAGATATTTGTGTGTATTTAGCAATGTGTACGTTTCAACCCACATAGGCGCATAACTAACGCGCTGGTCAAAATAGCAATGTGCTCCTTAACACACCCCTATTTTAGTCCAGCACACCCATGAGTCCACATAGTGGTGTAAATGTATTTGCTATTTAAATGACATGGAGCAAAATGTAAAAATTGGGGTTGCGCTGGTCTTTAAATAGCAACAAATCGCAACAAACACTTCTTGCGCCTTATTGCGCTGGGTGCATGATAGTGCCCAAAAAGTGTTCTGCCAAAACTAATGATAAGCATTTGTGCTAAACTAAAACACATGAAACACACTAAAAGCATTTCAATTGAATATTTGGTGAAATTTGTAATGTGAAAGTTTAATCAATTAATCTTTGAGAAAATTTGCACACAGTTTATCTCAATCAAACATTGAGCAATTGACTGATTGATGCAGAATTCAACGATAATGATTTGACTTTAAAATCCTTAATGGCAAACGAATGGCTGATGTTCAGATTGCGTTGTCGGTGGATTTGCTCACATTAACTGGCTCTCCTCGTCATATGCCAGAACCTGCGTGACGTCCCAGTCTCCTGATGTGATGGACTGCAGAGTGTCTGTGCTGCTGTTGGGCTTCATGAAGAAAACAAATTAAACAGACATCAGTCACACTGAACGGATCTCAGTGCTATGCTCATCAATAACATTCAAACAATGCTTGAAGAAATGACTAAATTAAAGACTGAAAATTAATCAATTAAATTCAGCTGACTGCAAACATGTGATGAGTTGGCTCAAAAATAAGATAAAACTCCAAAAATAAAACAGATTTTTTAAACTAGAAAATCAATAATACTTTATTCTTCAGTTAAAAATACAAATGAGTATAATTAATATGCTTCTGGCTTGTCAGTGATATCATAAGCACTAACTGATGCTGTGTGTAGATTTTTCTCTTTTTTTATTAATTGCTGAGGGATATGAGTTAACAGAATCAACATTATTGATAGAAATATTGTGACACGTCACTATGAACTTGTGTTCAATAAAAACCTATGTTGAATGCCACCAATAATCACAATATATATAACTGTTTCAGAATAATATCAAGTCCAATTCCGAGTCATTTGATTTTGAGTATCTATCGATACCCGATCTAATAACTCTATAATACATAAAAAAATACACAAAAAATAATGAAGAGTGAACAGATCCAGGATATTCCTTATGTTTTTATGTATTTCACCTTATTTTAACGTTTAACAACTCTAACATCAAATCTACACTTCTGGACTTTAGTGCCACAGTATATATATATATATATATGTATAATTCTAACATCTAAAAACAAATAGCACCTTAAAATACCTGGTAGGCAATCCCAAGTTCACATATCTCACAGTTTGCTGTCAACAACTTTATAATACATCAAGACCGCAGACATACTCGCACTTTACACTTCAAGCTGTTTCTACGTTCTACTTTGCCAGCATTTAACCAATAGCGTCTCTGCAACGAAGGGATGTTATGCCGCACACGTTGCTGTTTCTGCGTGAAGTCAAGAAAGACGTCTAACTCTGTGCCACCACATAACGATGTGTTTTAAAATAATGAGAATATATATATGGCAGCACGGTGGCGCAGTGGTTGGCAATAATAATAGCAATAATACTAATAATAACAACAACTACAACAACAACAACAATAATAATAATAACAATAACAATAATAACAACAACAAAAATACTACTACTACTACTACCACCAATAATAATAATAATAATAATAATAATAATAATAATAATAATAATAATAGTAGTAGTAATAATAATAATAATAATAATAATAGCAACAATAACAACAATACTACTACTACTACCACCAATAATAATAAAAATAATAATAATAAAAATAATAATAATAATAATAGCAACACTAACAACAATACTACTACTACTACTACCACCAATAATAATAATAATAATAATAATAATAATAATAATAATAATAATAATAATAATAATAATAATAATAATAATAAAAAATATGAAAAATGACCAAATTACATAATTTAAACATAATACATATTCATAATTCATTCTGATTTTATAAAGATTATGTACATTTATTATTATCGTTATTATCATTATTCTTTATTCCACTGACGACGTGCAAACATTTACTTTCCATAATGGCCAAAGCAATCAATCAAGAGCAGCATATATAAAAAGTTATGTTGTTTGATAATCACTGGCTGTTTCTCTATATGCGATATTCTGCAATTCTTCAGTGTTCTTGTGTCTTTGTGTTCTCGTGCCATTGTTAATTGTCAAAGTTCAGTTCCAAAACTCAAGACCGCAAGAACGGAGGACGTGTGAATGTTCCCGGATGCGTTTTTGATATTGAGGATGCATCGATGCAAACTTGAGCGCAAAAATCAAACGAGAAGTCACCAAAAGTCATCATCCAAGAGTTTTAACCACTCAGTGCTGAAATTTGTACCTGTGAGATGGACATGGAGATGTGGAAAAACTTCCCTCGTCCTCCCTGCGGGATTGCTCTGGTGAAGAACAGCCTCAGACCGTCTTTCGAGAACAGCGGCTCTTCGTTCTGTTTGAGAAATGTAACTCTAAATGATCATTACCGTCACACGGGCACCATCATTACTGTCATCATGCCAATGTTGTCTTCCCATGGTAATGTTTCGTCATTTGGTTTGCTCTGCAGAGTTTTGTAATTACTGAATTATAAGACCTGCAGGAGCAATAGACAATGCGTCCAACACAGCGGCGAGCGCTCTTATTTCAAACCAAAAAAAAAAAAAAACTATAACAACATATATTAGAATGTGAATTATTATGATGATGCAGTGCATATGCAATAGTGCCTTAGAGCCCTCAGGCCCATTTCTGCAGGAGCCACACAATTCTTTCTCCATGTTATTGCAAAACATTTCACGCGGCCACATTTTCCCTCCGGCAAAAAACAAAAAAACATAACAGACATGAAAAACTAATCAGCAAAAACAATATCAGCTCAAGCACAGTTCTGTGGGGAGTGTGATAAGACAAACAACATCAAACCTCTACTATTCAAATCTGTTACTGCTGACAAACACCGACAAGGAACGTCCTTTCACTTTTATTTTTCGTCTGGGTGGAGGAAGTAAATGCTCACCTGTCTGTGCAGCCACCCTTCACTTTCATCCTCGTGTTTCTGGAAAAAAGAGAGAGTGTCACAAAGGCAAGAATGCAGTGAAATATCACAAGGATGCAATTTGTACTTACTGGCTCTTTCGGTCCAATTCAACTAACATTTTTTAACACGTTTTCTTAATTTTGTTTATGAATTAGCATCAGCCAATTGTGCTGAAAATGAGGCTGATTAGGAGGAGACACATTTGAAAGCAGCTAAATTTGAAGCCGAGTCCTGCAAGCAAGCAGCCTGCCAATCCCAGTGTCGCGATCACCGGCAAACTAAAGCTGCGGTCACATTAGAGTTTGAGCATGCAATATTCTGTCGTGCGGCGCTGTTAAAGAATGAATTGGCCTGTACTGTGCACTTTGGAATATTCTTAACAAATCCAGGCATACCTTAGTGCAGACACCCGTTGTGGCCACGCAGAGGGTCAGGATGGAGATATTCTGTGCACGGTTCAGCCAGTTTACAGCTAGTTTGGTACTTGTGGCCCACTTCACCATTGTCACATAGTACTCCCTGCAATATAGACAAGAAAGAGCGGCATTGTCTTCTAGTAGAAAGACTACGTTCACTTTCAAGACCTGGGCTGAATAATTCAAAGGTTTCCACAGAATTCAAACGGTTATTATTTACATAGTTATACCAACTCATTTCTGAACCCTTGGGTGTACATTTATTTAATATTTTGGCTAATTTAAAGTTGTTTCCAGCTAGGGATGCAGCCTATAAAATACATGATGCATATCTCCCTTTCAGGATGGCCTCTTTTGTCAAATGATGTTCTAAAACATTAATGATCAGGCGAACTGTACTGCTGTTTTAGTTGTAAATATTGCACACTTCCACATACAGATGTACATAAAGATGCTCATAGTCTATATATTGATATATTTAAATATTCTTTCTCCTTCTACAGCAGTTTTTTGTTCTTACACAGCAAAAATCTCACTAAATTTTACTCAGTTTCAAGAGTTCTCCCTTAGATATGCTTGGCATTTAAGCAGTTTTGGCATGCTGTCCCGGGAGAGAACCCTGAGCTCGGAGATATTTGAGCCCAGGGCTCCCGCCCGATCGATAAGCATATCAGGAGATCCGAGATCAGGAGGGTCTCGAGAGCTTCCCCTATTAAAGAAGGGGAAAAGGAGGAGTTTGGGGTGGAAGGGGGGATTCTTCTAAAACGAAGATAAAGCTGTAGGAGAAAAATTATCTATTTATGGAAAACTAAGATCGCTCTGATTGGATTATTACTGATTACGGATGAGCGGCTAGACTTGCTCAATCATATCACATGTTCCTCTCAAAATTAGCTTATGAAAATTCACTTAGATAGTATTTGCTCCCTCTATAAATTTAACTAAAGTTGCTCAAGTTATTGAGACAATGAAATTATTAATTGGGTGATGATTGAGCACTGATGATGAACACTTGCTGTTAATAAACAAAAACACAGAAGAGAAACACGAAGCTACAACTGAAATATAATACATTGAATCTCTCAAAATCTCAGCAGAGGATCCTTCAGCAACTCAACAAACAGCAGCTCTACTTATTACCAACTTGTTTGCTCTTAATTAAAGAAGGACCAAATACTCTCTGAACTGAGTAAATTTCGCTCAGAGAATTTAGCTGTGTATGTTTATGAATATGTACTTATGTATATATTTGTCACTTATTTTTACATAGTCTTGGCATTTAAGGTGTCCTATATTAATTTAACTCACGATATGGTTAGGGTCAGAATGCAGGTTAGGTTTAGGGTTAGTTGAGGGTTAGTTAAGAAGCAAGTGAACACTATATTTCCTAAGATAACAGTGTAAAGGTTTGATTCTTCAAAATACACCCATTTTAACTTTTTTCAAGGACTTGAAATTGAACACATTTTACCAAATGCAAATCAGTTTGATAAGCATTCATTTGGGACGTGATTGAGTGTAAAGTTAGCCCACCCTATTCTTTGGTCCTCTGGTCTTCTCATCTCAATAGTGTGCAGAGGCCCATTGAGATTCACCACATACAAAGAAATGACAGGATTTTCCTCTCCTGCCTGAAAGACACACTCAAGCATATCACATTATCATCTCCAGCGCCATCCTCATATTTACAGTCGTTCACAGTCTTTACCTTAGGATAATGGTACTGTCTCGCCGTCGGGTAGAGCGAGCCGGTGAACATGGGGATCTCCATTCTGGGCACCAGCGTGTCGTTGATGGTCGCGTACGCGAGTCGAGCCCCATCCGGAGACCACCAGTGTGCGATGTGGGACTTAAAGATCTCCGCTGCGCAAGAAAAGAGTCAGGAGTTTCTTTAAGTCATATTTCACAGCGGTTCAATCGCTCGAATAATTGCAGGAATAGTAAAAAGTAATCATCCATGACACAGCGTCTCTCAGGTCTCATTCCAGCTAGTTCCACACACGCACACACACACACACACAGATCTTCATTCGGATACACTGGATGCACCTGGAACGAGCATTTCTGCGTAACCACCTGTTTCTATTTGAATCTTTGCTTCTCTCACACTGGAAGGTTCTGGCCCATAAATCACGGGGCGGACTGTAATCTCAGCGGGGCCGGTGAAAGAGAGTGTCGGCCCTCTCCATCAAGAGCCCCTTCTCTTCTACAATCTCTTGAAAAAAAAAAAGCAATTTCTGGACTCCACCAAAGGCTGCGGAAATAAGGTCTGACCCCTCTTCCTGTGCTCAAATAGGCAGGAAGTCACATATTCAGCACAGCTGTGCTCACTTCGTCACCTGTAGAGAGAGTGAGTGGATCTGCGCAGAGAGTTGATGTTGACATCTAAGGGCATGGACAGCTATTTGTAATTGTAAGCCTATAATTAAAAGTTATTATTATTATTATTATTATTATTATTATTATTATCATTATTATTATTGTTATTATTACTACTACTACTAATATTAATAATAATAAACACGAATAATGAACACTACTAATAAATAATAAATAAATAAATAAACAATAAATACATAAACAATAAACAAACACACAATAAATAAATAAATAAATAAATAAATAAATAAATAAATAAATAAATAAATAAATAAATAAATAAATAAATAAACAATAAATAAATAAATAAATAAATAAATAAATAAATAAATAAATAAATAAATAAATAAATAAATCGTAGGTGCCTCCTTTTGGGCTTGAGCACACAGCGTCTCTTTAACATATTCCGTAGAGCTGCGAGCTGGGCAACACCTAACACATTTGTGAGATTTTATAATATTTGAGTAAAGTCTGTTTCCTCCCGAATACTGGGTAACTCAGGTCAATCAGTTGGAAACTGAGCTCGGTGTCAAAAACACATGCCCCGCTATGCTCCCTAACCTTGAGACACGTGGGCTTATTCTACTCTCCTAAGTGAGTTCCCCGTCTGGTGAACTCTCCAGAGTTTCTCTAAGGCCCCAGCACCTGACTTAGCAGAGAAACCGTGTGCCTGGCCCAGTATAATGTCTGGTATGCCCGCTTGGTTTACCCATATGCTGGGCATTGGAGTCAGATATGGATGATCCCCATAGGTATGGCGAACCCATGCCTTTCCTACCTGCTAACGAGGTTATCATATGTAGCGCTCCCCCTGTATAGTTCTAGCCCTTATGTCCTTACTGTCATTAGGTCTCCCCAATTGGGTAGTAGGTCGCCTCTGCAGTGTCCTCCCTCTTTGCTGATTGGCAGACTTTGTGTACTGTTGTATTTAAAAAAAAAATCCTTAGGCTACAATTGGCTAAGTAAAAGCACATTTACGACTCCCGATCTAATTCTATTCTACATTACTTCTATATAATGGTAATTAAAGGGCCTCGGGGCTGGTGATGCTTGTGACCTCAGGCTATGCATGGCAAACTTCACGTCAGGGGCGTAATGTGCTCGGCAGCTGTGGCGATCTCCATACACTCTCCCATTTGTGTCAGAAGACACACGTTGGAGTTCCTACTGAAGGGTACATCCTGGTTACTAACGTAACCTGCATTCCCCAAAGAGGGAACAGAGTGTGTCTCATATGCCACAGCAGCCAGGTTCCAGCTGATAGCTGAGTGTTCGTCCTCTCATCGGCTAAAACATATGGATCCAACATAGACTCATCCTGAAAATGTAGCCCTATATACATTTCTGGAGGTTGCGAATTATGTAGCCAGAAGTACGTATGGCTGCATTTCATCTTTCAAACAAATGCTACGGTACGGTGTGATGCTGTTCCTTTACATGCTTACCAGTTTACCGCTTGCCTTTGTATGGATGGACTGTCTGTTATTACCAGTTTGTCCGTTAGCTTGACATATACGTCCGCGGACTTGAGATGCAGAGAGGAGTTGACCGCGACAACGGGGTTCGAGTCCGGTGAAGAGCGGTTCCAGAAAGCAGGTAAGACAAAAAAATATATATAATAAAACAAGTAAATAACAGGGTAAGAATGTGGTAAAATCTGAAAACGTGGTAAAAATCTAGGAGCTTTTCTTTTTCTGGTTTGCTTTTTAAAACACTGTCGGTTCGGTTAAGGGAAGGGGGAGGCTGGGTCAGTCAATTGGTCAGTCAGTCAGTCATTCAGTCAGTGGACAGCGGCCTTTGGTGGATTTACGTAAGAACAGCAGGTGCGAATGGCACTTGCGAGAGAACAAAAACAAACAAAAACTGCAAAAAAAAAAAAAAACAACATACCTCCGGCGACGTATTTTGGCTCTCTCCAGAAATGTATATAGGGGTACGTACTCAGAATGAGCCTTGGCTGTATGAATCCATATTGCTGTATATTAACATCCTGTCTAAAGAACTTCATCCATTCGGTTGTTTTTCAAACACAGCACTGCCATATCCTTCACTATCAATGACACGCCACTATCCTCTGCATTTAAGTCTTATGAGACTATTAATACTAGCTTTGAAATCTAAAGCTTTCCCATTTTGCTTCACATTTTTTGGGTGAACAAGTTCATGTAAATGCCGCTGTGGACAATAACTGCATCAGTTCAGAGTTTCAGTAATGTGTTTTAACGCCTAGAGAGCATGATGCCAATGTTTTAGATGAAGTTCTTGCGACTATCATGGGAGCTCTACAATGAATCTGATCATTAAAGAGATGCTGACCCATAGATGAACCACAAGCTAGCCTGCCGTAGACATCTCTGTACAAAACAAGCAAAAATGGCTCTCATTAGACAGAAGATGTTAGAAACCCTACAAACACCTCTCTCTCTCTCAGTCCTGTTTTCCATGTCTCTCTGCGCTCTTTATTCTGCCAAACACACACTCACACTCTCAGTAGTGAGTCAGCAAGCTTGTTGGGCTGTTGATTGCTCACACAGGGAGGTTTAATGGCAGAGCTGAATGACGGATGAAACAGGAGTGTATGTTTTGAGAGCTGGGGGACAGTAAAGCCACATCTAGCATGCACACACACACACACACACACACACACACACACACACACACGCACACGCACACATTCACTGTTGTCCCTCTTTAATACAAGGACAGCTGCAAAACAGAGGAAAGTGAGATGATAGTTTGATAGTTTAGGCCATGAAACTTTACTGTTATACATTTCTACCATTTCTTATTTTCTGAGAACCATCTGCAGTGCACTGAAATACAGGTTTTTCCAAAGTCACGAGCCAATCAGCGATACATATCATTTAGAAATAATAAGGAAACTCTAAAATGCATTATTATTAAACTTTTTTGTGTTCAAATTTAGACTTTATCTCACAATTTCAGCATATCTTGTCATTCTTTTGAGACCTTTTTCTCAGAACTGCAAACATCCCAGCAGACGTTAATATCAGGCTGGATTTAGGTCTCCAGGACAATGTTATTTTGATGTCCGTCCAATAATGACGTGAAATGAAGTTGATAATTTGTTGATTTTAGGTTGTGGTGGAAAGTGACCGAAGCGAACTTCAACGTCAAGCCATCATCTTAAACCAATGTCATATTGACGTCAAATACTGACATTCGTCAGGTATGGCAAACATAATCCAACGTCTGATAGCGGTCATATTGGTAATGTCCGCACAACGTGAAGCTGTAACATCATTAGACGTTGATATTTGGTTCTACAAGTTACTTCTGACATGGGAGATTGACGTCGACCTGATGTTGGGTTTTGATGTCAACACAATTATCATTTCTAATCAAAATGCAATGTCCCACGACATTGGGGTATAATGTAAATCTGAGGTCATGTTAAAGTCTTGTGCCTGCTGGGACATAACACACATAGGTTATTGCTTTTCAGCTGAAATTACACAATTATGAATGTTTTTCACAAATCTTGAAATCTTTGTTTAGCTATGATGTTATATCTCACAATTACTTTTATTAATTCTACACTTAAAATTGTGCGAAACTCTTAACAACAATAAGAAGAAATTGAGTAAAAATTTTTGTTATAAACTCTGAAGACTGTTTAAAAAGATAAAGGGTTTCACTAGTTGTGTCCCAAATGACACACTATACACTATGCACTTATACACTATACACAATTGCACATATACACTCAACTGTGTAGTGTATGGTTTAGTGTCCTTCCATTTTGTTTTTACTCAATGAAAATCCAAACCATTTCCCCGAAGATGTTTAGCAGTTGCCAAATTTGAGAAATAAACCACAAATAGTACCTGTTATGAGTACATACTAAACAAAATAAAGTGTTCTTTTAGCTATTTTTACAAACGTTTTGTTTGTGAACACATTTATGACTAAATTCTAAGTTCAAGGTTAACAAAACTAAGAATTTCTATTTCTTGTTTCACATTATTGTTCTCAAACAATCATAAATGAATGAATGAAAAATAAAATCGATAGTCCTTAATTGTATGGTGTTACAATATACATGTACTTTCTACAACCCCAAATCAGAAAAAGTTGTGACAGTATGGAAAACGCAAATAAAAAAGAAAGTAAATTACTCTCAAATTACTTTGACTTCTGTTTCATTGCAGATAAACAACAAACATTATTTAATGTGTTCCTCATGATTTTATAGTTTTTAGAAAAATAAAAAATAAGCATGGTTCCAGTTTTGTACCAGCCACCACCAGCTTGAACCATTGACACAAGGCAGGATGGATCCATGCTTTCATGTTGTTGATGCCAAATTCTGACCCTACCATCCGAATGTTGCAGCAGAAATCGAGACTCATCAGACCAGGCAACGTTTTTCCAATCTTCTAAGTCCAATTTTGGTGTGCCTGTGCGAATTATAGATTCAGTTTCCTCTGCTTAGCTGACAGGAGTGGCACCGGGTTTTGTCT